TTGAAATATTTAATGCAATTATAGTGACTTGAAATTACATTAATGATAGAGAAATGTCTCTCTTCTTATCCTATTCATATCTACTATTGTAAACACTTCAAGGAAATAAGTGGTTATTAATGAAAACAGAATGACATACAGAAAACAAAGTTACTTGTACATGTAAAGTAAAATCTTGACAGATAGCACAGTGCTAGGTATTCAAGAGATTCTCAACATGAGATTGATTTTTTGTTTAGCACATTTTCTACATTTGTAAAGCATATTGCACATTCATGGGTGTCTAAACACCACTTTGTGTGGGGAAACAAAACTTTCAGTGAAGCTAAGAAAATGAGAAATTGAAGACTGCTCTCCCGAGATGCAGTAAGAGGTAGCAGAGCTAGAAACTGACCTCAACATTCCTCTAAATCATGGACCCAGCTGCTATTTAAAGACTGCAAACGTGGTCAAAAGCCAAAGCCAAGGTGTAAACGCGGGCCTTGGAACAGAGTCTTGAACTCATTTCATGTTCACTTATCAAATACCTAAGGAAGACCTTCTACAAAGATTATGCACCATTATGTGACTATAGTAACGAAGGCGGGATGTGCAGGCGGGATGCGTGAATTCCCTTTGCAGCTGTAAAGTGGGGCAAGGAATTCTAAATGTACTTGCATCGCAGTGCCACAGGGTGCCTCTTAAGAGGAAAAAGGCAACATCCAGGTAAACTCAGAAGAGCGGATGAAGCTGGTGTTACTCAATGCCAGAGCTAGGCTATCATGAAACAAGGCAAAGGGTAGGAAAGGAAGAGGTCTGCGTAAATCCCTGAGATCCATGGCAAAAGAAAATAAATTAACTGTGGTAAAGACTGGTAAAAATAGGATGAGTGGGAAAGGGCCAGTAGAAAGCAATGCTTTCTTACGCAACTTAGACCTCAAATTGTGTGAACAACCACTGATCAATTCTCGTTCTCTTTCTTTTAACCTTATTACGTTTTGATTGATATTCAACGTGGACACATTGATGGATTTCTACCTAGACGCGCACTTGGCAATGTTGGTACCCCAATCAAAGCATTAAACATTTCCATTTGCATCATGGCTTCCTTGTCATACTGACTGAAACCTCTGAACCTGGGAGCCAAAATAAATCAATTCTTCTCTTGAGTTGTTGCTGTTGGGTCATGCGTCGCAGCAATACAAATAGAAGGCCTGCCTAACACAAGTCCAGTGAATGCAAAATCATCCGCACTAAAGCTCATCTTACGTCAGAACATCAAGGATAGAGAAAATCATAAAATATCCCCCCCCCATCAATGTCTGAGCCCTGTGAGAGAGAGGGCCCTGTGGTCACAGAGTGGGAGAGCCTTTGCTGACCCCCATCTGAGGATGTGAGATAGCGGCCCTGTGGTCACAGAGCAGGAGAGCCTCTGCTGACCCCCGCCAGCTGCAACACTGGGAAGAGCAGGCCAGGGCAGCACAATAGAGACAACCCTGTTAGTGCAGTTTGGGGTGAGCCAGCCCTGAAATTGTGAGCATGGGAGCATGGGGGAACTGTCCCCATTGACCATGTGTCAGACCCACCATTCAGCTGCCCAGGCCCAGTCCCAGGGGTATGACTTGGCCTGCCCCAACATCCACCCCATCTATGACCTGCTGGAGCATTGAAGGGACCTGACCCACAGACCGACACTATAGGATCTCCACAATACAGGGCAACAACTGGATACCCAGGAAGGGTGTGAGTGAGGACCCCGCATTGATAATGTAGTGTAGCAGAAACCAGAGGCCTTAAGCCAGACCAACGACTCTTCACAATGAACACTTGCAAATAAATATACATGGACAAAAGGGGTTTATGGCGTGACTCATTGTGTCACTGCAACTTCCATGATGAGATTTTTATCTTTTCCCCTTTTTTGTTTTTATCTCTTAATTTTATTTTTTAAAGGAAGAGGTGCAGGGACAGGAAGATGAACGGGACCCAGATAGGTGATGTAAAAGACACATAGATAAATTTTAAAAGACGGTAATAAAAAAGGAATTCATAAAATCTTGTCAGATTGTTGGACATATTCAGTCAAAAGCTGAAACTACTGTTGGTCTAGAAAGCAAAATCTTCCAGAGAATGCAGAAGCAGTACATACAAATTTGCCAACTAGAATGGTGTTATACTTAGAAACATGCTCAAAGCAAGAGTTCAATAAATAAATGCCTTTCTGTTTAAATATAGAGCCTAAAAACATATGGTCTAGAATTACATAAAAACACATGCACACACTTTGGTACAATGTCTAGTTCCATAACCTATACCCACACTCACAGCTTCAAACATACATCTACATAAAGACTAAGTCCTAAGACCTACCTATGCGATTGAATATGCACGTTTATCTCTTAACCTGAGCTACCTTGTGATGCCACGAACTCTTTATATGATTGGTAAGAACAGCAATTCTTTACTGTGCAGTCTCCTTCCCAAACTGCCACAGCTCTAATTTAAGAGTGATGAAACAACTGGACAAATCCAACTGAGGTACATTCTACACTATAGCTAGAGTGTACATCTCAGAACCGTCAGGTCATCCCTGAAAATATGTTAGGAATAAAAACACTTAACATGTTGATCAAATTTACCCTAAAGGGGATGCTGAAACAGAAAAGAAAAAACACATCATATCAAATCCAAGGAAGTATACATAAAGCATGGATTTCAAAAAAATTGTATAAACACAGATTCATTTGTTGTGACTAATGTACCATTATAAAATAATAACAACAGGGTGACTAGTATGGCACATGTAGGGTAGTGTCTCCGCACATTTTTGTAAATTTATTGCCATCTAAGAATTAAAAGTTGGTTAAAATAAATCACTGGTGTAGATAAATTCACATCTGAAACTGGGCGGAGCAGAGAGATGGCCCAGCAGTAGAGCATTGGTCACTCTTCCCGAGGACCAGGGTTTGATTCTCAGCATCCATACAGCAGCTCACACTGTCTCAGGATACCTATGTCCTTTTTGACCTCTGTGAGCACAAGCATGTGTGCAGTGCACAAATATACATGCAGGCCAAACGATCTAAACATAAAATATGTTTAACTGGGCTCTGTACTCTCTCCGTTTTAAATAAGATTATATTGGAAGTCCTTGCAAGTGAAATAAGATAAAGAAGGATATATATATATATATATATGTGTGTGTGTGTGTGTGTGTGTGTGTGTGTGTGTGTGTATACACACACACATATATATATATAAAAGAATCACACACAGGTATAATGTAATTTTAAAAGTAAATGCTTAGAATTACAATCATTGAATCTTAATGAATTATACTTCAGAGAATGTGACCAGCAAGAGAGAGTAGAGGAACAAGAGAGGAGAATAGAAAGAAGACTGAATACAATCAAAGTACATTATATATAGTATGTATAATATATAACCTATGTATTAGCAATAATACAAATAATACAAAGTACATTTTATACATATATATGTGTGTGTAGAACTGCTTTGTAAAAGTAACATAAGTTACTTTTATAAAAGTACAACTTCATCACTGAAAGATACGAATACTTGCATTATTATATGCATTATTATAATGGTGTACAATTATTGCACCATATCAATATATTTAAAGACTTGATATTGCATTAATTTTCAATTCTTCTCAAACTAATGAGTTTTATCCACTTTAGTTCCAACAAAAGACCTAGTGGTCCATTTGCAAAAGTTGACAAAGGCAATTTTGAAGGATTGCAGGATGTTCTCAAAAACATACACCATACATGCACGTGCACATACATGCTTGCATATGCACACACATACATACGCACATATGAACACAGATTATAAAAGAAATGGGTATGGTTTAGAAGAAACTGCATATAGTAATCACGTCACGCTTGGTGCATTTCTGACACCTGCTAGTTTTGCAGCTTGATGAAGGACCTGAAATGGCCAAGAAGCTTAGGGTTGGGTGGAATGGATGCCATGCCTAATCCCTTTCCTAGGGAAACAGCTAGCACCTAACAATGAGTGATACAATGTAACACTTTTCATTTCCTCTCCCTCCTGATCCATTTAGAAACCTGTCCTCTGGTTTCACGCATTTTGTTACACCCATTTTAAGGCTGACTAATACTCCATTGTGTATATTCACAAACATATATGTAAGTATAAATATGTGTGTAAATACACACTCAATCCAACTTCCATACTTCTGCTCATGAACTTCCATCCTTCCCACAGCTTGGCATTTGTGAATAAATAGTACTGTAGTGATCTTAGGAATGCTTTCACTTCCCTGGAGGACCTGATTTCATTTCTTCAGAGTAAATCCTCAAAGTACACATTTCTGGGTCACACGTTGGCACTGAGTTTAGCAACTGTATTGGAAATCACCCCAAAGCTAAAGCCGAAATTGACAAATGGAAACATTAAGTGAAAAAGTCTCTGGATACCAAATGAAGAAAGAAGTCTACGGACGGGGAGAAAACTACATGTAAGCCAAACACCCAAAACATTGAGGAGTTCGCAATACTCAACAGCAAACAAACAGAACGCTCAAATATCCAGTAATCAACTGGGCAAGATGATTTAACAGACATTTTCCTAAGAGAGTATACAAACTGCCCACATATGTATGACAAAGGAACTTGACATGCCTTACCACCAGGGAACTGTCAATCTAAGCCCCATGCAGGCACCACCCCACACTTATTAGGATAACAATTGCCAAAGGGCTAGCTAGAGAGAGTAAGTGTTGGCTTAAGAGAATGCTGGCAAACCACTGCTGACGATGTGAATTGCGGTCATTATGGAAAGCAGCATGCAGCTTCTTCACACGTTAAAACTAGATTTGTCAGACGACCCAACTTTAGTCCTTTGCAAAGTTGAGTCACCTGCTTTTTATTTTCCAGTTACTAGAAATCAAAGGCCCAGGCTCAATGCCAACCGTCCAGGTCCCCGCGCGGTCTGAAGCCAGCAGGGGGCGCCGTGGACCACGAGGGGTCCAGAGGGAAGAGGAAGTGCCTGACCAGGCTGGCCCCGCGCACGGTGCACCCAGACTCTCCTGGGCCGGCTGAGCGCGCTCGGTTCCGGGTCCGGTGACTCGCGTGACAAGCGTTGCCGGGTGCGCAGAGGAAGGATCTGCCCTGACAGCCTGGTGGAAGATTCCCGGTGCCCATGGCGGGCGAGGGATTCGGGCAGCCGGGGACGACAGCCACCCTGGCGCCCGAGACCCGGGAGCACCTCTTCAAGGTGCTGGTCATCGGTGAGCTGGGCGTGGGCAAGACCAGCATCATCAAGCGCTATGTGCACCAGCTCTTCTCCCAGCACTACCGCGCCACCATCGGGGTCGACTTCGCCCTCAAAGTCCTCAACTGGGACAGCAGGACGCTCGTGCGCCTGCAGCTGTGGGACATCGCGGGTAAGCGGGCAGCGTCCCAGCGCCACCGGGCTCGCTCCTCCCCGCCTCCTGGTTCCTCTCTTTCCTTTCCTCTGCCTGAGCTCCCTGGGGGTGCGCTTTTAGAAGTGAGCAAATGGAACGGGAAGATAAGTGACCCCTGGAGAGGCTTGAAGGGGTCCTGGAAAAGTTCTGGGTGACTAAAGGACTTGCCTGGAGTTCCACTGCCGGCCATTCTCAACCTGGGGGTCGAATGAGCCACTCACATGAGGTCGCCTACGACCTTCAGAAAACTTACATTACTATTCATAACAGTAGCAAAATTGCAGTTATGAAGCAGCGATGAAGATAATCTTATGGTTGGGGGTCACCACAACATGAGGAACTGTATTTAAGGGTCGCAGTATTAGGGAGGTTGAGGACCACCGCGTTAGTGATAGAATAAAATCCAACAAAACCCGGTTACTTTCCACCCTCTCATCTGTCTTGGGTCTGTGCTCAGCTGATGTAAGGGTTTTCTCTCTCCTTACGCCAAGAAATTTTACCTCTAAGAAATGACAGATATGCTTATAATTTACTAAAAGGGGTTGGAGCCAAGGGTGAGGAAAACTTGGAGCCCCGCCAGACCTTTGTGAGGGGAACTCCATTCCTGAAATTCCTCCCACTTGCCAGGCCTGGTGACACTGCAGAAGGGTTGGGAAAGTTCTGAAACTTTCCCCGCTGCCTGCCCCTCCCTAAGCCAATAATCAGGCCTTCCCCTGGGCACTTCCCCAATCCACAAACACTGAATTGTTACCTTTTGCTTTCACTCCTCGCTGTGGAATGTAAGAACCATTTACTGTCTTTGAGAGGCACACCCTTCTGCGTGTTCTCTCTGGGGTGGTAGGTGCAGTATGGGCATCCGACAAAAGGTGGCCTTTTGTGGCATTTATTGAAATGGTAGCAAAGGTTACCCTGTTTGATCATTGCGTGCTCAGAACCTCTGCCTGCCAGGAAGCATTTGAATGGGAACTTGTTTAAGACTCTAGAACACTGTAGGTTGTTCCTGGGGTGCATACCATGAAGTCTCTGGAGGGTGTGGTTACACTGCTGGTTCTTTTCTAGCCTTCCACATGGAAAAGTGTGGAAGGCTTATAAACTCTACCCTCACTTGCTTAAGTACTGAGCCAATTTAGATAAGAAGATCTATGTATGCATATTCATACCAATCTCTCAGAAAGTTATTTGGCCTTGGGCTGAACTTGTTTTGTTTGTTAAAACAACAACAACAACAACTAAGAATCCATTTGTAGTACCATCCATTCTTTAAAGCCAGAGACCTCATTTGAACCCCCTGTCCCTGAAGAACAGACTATTTATTGCTTATTGACAACTTCACACATCCTGAAGGTTGCCATACCCTGTCCAGGGCAGCTTTTTCACAGGGATGGTTTGAAACCCCTGTTAAAATAGCAACTCGGTTTCTTTTATTATTTGTAAATCAGTATGATACTAAGTATTAAATTATGCTTGGTGATTTGAGGAAACAAAAGCAAGAAGTTCTGGATGCCTTTAACATCATCACATGGGGGGGGGCGGAAGCAGGCAGATCTGTGAGTTTGAAGCTTGACTGATCTATAGAGTGAGTTCCAGGACAGCCAGGGCTACACAGAGAACCTTGTATGGAAAAATAAGTAAGTAAGTAAATGAATAAGAATGTTTCCTTTCTATGCATCACTTCAGCTCTTTGCATGCCCTCCCCAAGATCCCTGTCCCTCCACCCTCCCTACTGTTGGAACTTCAAGAATGTCCCAGCACACAGCTTCATCCTTTTTGAACGGACACCACAGCCAGGAGGGAGACACAGCCCAGCTACCTGCCATAATGACGCCATCCTTGCGTTCTTGCCAAAATCTGAAGCTTGAGCTTCCCCAGGAAAGAAAGAACCATTTTATAACGTCCTGGCTTTTCAACAGGAATTCTTGTAGTGTTCAGCAAGTACCTAACTCCAAATAACAACTAGAGAAAAACTTACTAGGTGGCTTAGCTAGGATTTCTATTGTTGAAACGTCATGACCAAAATGTGTGTTGGATGGGAAAGGGTTTATTCCGCTTACACCTCTACAGCACTGTGTTCATCATTGAAGGAAGTCAGGACAAGAACTCAACCAGGCTTGGAATCTGGAAGCAGGGGCTGATGCAGAGGCCATGGAGGGGTGTTGCTTCCTGTTTCACTCATCATGACTTGCTCAGTCTGCTTTCTTATAGAACCCATGACCACCAGCCCAGAGATGGCACCACTCACCAGGGAATGGGTCCTCCCTCATCAATCACTAATGAGGAAAATGCCTTACACATGGTTCTTATGGAGGCATTCTCAATTGAGGTCTCCTCCTTTCAGATAACTCTAGTTTGTGTGTATCAAGTTGATATAAGATGAACCCATACATGTGGTACCTAGACACTGTTAGGCTTCTCTCCTAGAGTCAGAGTTTGGGGCACGCTGCTTTAATATACAGATGACAACAGGCATAAGTAACTTGGATTTGGGCTGGAATTTACAGAACAACTGTGCTTAGTTTAAACATTTGAGATACTGGTAAATTCTGCTTAGCTCATACCATTTGAATGAGGAAAAAGTTGTATAATGAAGGCTATGGCAAAACATTTCCCCAAGGCTGAGCATACACCATGTATGATTGCAACGTTGACTTATACTGAAGTCTGAAAGAATAAAAGTATTCCCCGAGTTGCAAAACAAAAGGAGGGGCCAGCCACATGACATGACTCAGCTGCTAGTTCCCTTTCAAGACTGTTGTTTTGGAAGCTACAGAGGTGGACAGGGCCATAAAACAGAAAATAATAATAGTAATGCCAGCCATCAGAAAAGCGTTGAGAAGTATAATAGGCAAGAATTATGGAATGCTTTCTGTGAAGGGAGCCAAACAGCTTCAATTAAACCCTTCAAATTAAGGACCACAGAAACTTGCTGGCACAGGCCTCAGCAAAATGTTTCTCATTGCATGGAAGGAACCTAAATTAGAACATACTTCACACTGTAGACTCATAACAATTACCATTTCTACCTACCTTCATTCCAATGTCTCCAGTCACTATGCTTCTTATTTAAGACGTTCAGAAATCCCACAGTAGGCAGGTTTTGATTGGCCCCATCCTTTTAAAATGCATTTTGAAAGACTTTCCACTATGGACATGTCTGCTTGTGATAAGCTGTTTATTGCTCCATGGCTACAAGAACACGGCCTATAAAAACATCAAAGCAAAAATTGTAGATGTTTGCCTGGTCTCTGGTAACCACTGGTGAACCCTGAGCCACGTATTCCAGGAATGAAGTGTTACTTTCAAATACATTCTTGGAGAAATTGTATCCATTGTGTATATGTTATACTGACCATTTGCTGTTTATAAGCTTTCCATATAGAATTTTCTGGTTTTGTCCATAGACGTGGGAGACTTCTGTGAGACCAGAGATCAAGGAAACATGTTTTCGAATTCACCCACGTGTTCTCATCAAAAATCTTTCCCCCTTTGACCCAGCAAGCCAGGCAGGAGTGACTCCTTTCTGAGACAGAAATGGGGAAAAAAGGGGGGATATAACAGCCTGGATTCTCTCCTACCAAACACCCCCAACACTACCACTGGATTCTGTCTGTGTGGTTTATTTACGCATCCTCTCTCCTGGCTTGTGACTGCTTCTTGGGATTACTCGGAATTTATTGGGGGTTCCTACAGATTCAATAGTATCCTCTGTCTTACCAGACCAGCCTTCGTCTGACAGCTGTGTTCATCTGGCCTGGTTCAGCAAGAGTTACTCCTTTCACACATAAGTCTGGGGTTAGGCATTCCAGGACTGGTAAGATCTTCATAGACAAAAGCTGGCTTGCCACTAATAACTTACTCTAAAACTATATTATTTGTTTCAGTGGTCCAGTAAAACGATGTGCGTGCCTACATGCAAGGGCAGTTAGAATATATAAGGCTCATGTTTTAAGCTGGGCATAGAGCTTGCTCGAAATGCTCTGATGGAGCTAACAATCAGCCTCCCTTCATACCTGCCAAATCAGAATCGGAAGCACTTGAGAAGTCGTCACCTATCAAACACTGTGCGTGATTCCGATTTTACCAAAGCTGAGAAGCATTGTTCTATCTTGGGCTCTGTTGTACCCTGGCAACACACCCACATTCCCACTACACTCCAGGAGCTTAGCACTTAATCAGACAGCCTGCCTGGCACCAAGTTCCCTGGCACTCACACCTTCCATGTCCTTCAGTTCCTTTCCCAGATTCGCAGCACTCACATAGAAGAGTCTCATCCTCACCCCCTCTGGGGCCATCTCAGGGGCCTCTGGTGGAGGCCAGTTTATGCACAAAAGAGGAATTCACATTTAGAGATGGGATACTTTTTCTTTTGTTCCCGTCGAGTACATTTATGTAAAGGATCAGTAACCATGCCATAATCTTTTAAAGCTATCATGAATGTGAACACAAACTAGCAAGGTTATTTTTATTTTCATAGATAATGAGCCTCTTCCAATCTGATTGGAGATGGCCTGTTGACAGTACTTTGTCTCTGAAAGACGCCATGAGATTTAAGGGTTTTCTTTAGGAGAGCTTCCATTTGCTAATTAGAAACTAGACATTTCTTCCAAGTCACCTTGAGTAGTTAATGGGTAACCCTTGTTTGCTCTCTGTGGATGGGGAAGAGGTGAGTATCGAAAGTGGGGAAACTAAGCACCATTCTCTTCTATTGCTCTTGTGTTTTCTATGATATTTTTATTCTGAATTCCTACTAATATTATTAAAACCTTTGGATTATCAAGAGGGAGATACAAATATAACCTAGAGAGGGAAAACCCAAGCAAAAGCCATGATGGAAATCCCAAAAACCAGTTTCTGCGAATTGTGCTTTGCAGAATGTGGTATTGTCTTTATTACATCTGAGGCAAACACATTAAAATTTTCATGTTTTTGAGGGGGGTTGGTGGGGGGAGCAGGGGAGGACAGGTGGGTGCAGGAACTGGAATTGATATGTAAAACAAACTTGCTTCTAATTTAAATGAAAAAAATTGTATGGAAATATATATATATGTACATATATATATAGAGAGAGAGATAAAGATTTTTATGTTTTAAAAAGGTAAGAAACAATTTTGTGTACTTTTTTTTTTAGTCAAATGGGAATATTTATTCCTAGAAAAATACTAGTTTTGATGTTTGATCCTCCTCGGTGTCTTTAATGTGAATTACTCAAATAGCATTGTAAGTATTTTAATCCTTTGCCAACTTAAGGTATTTTAAGATTCCGGCATTTGCAAAATGTAAGAACTTGTTTGATATCTTTGGAGCCTGCATCAGTCTCTCTGAACTTACTCTTCTCATCCTTCATGCTTGCCAGAATCCCCAGTTGCAGTCAACATGCCTTCCTCCTGAGGCAATAGCATTAAGAGACAAAACATCGTGAGAACCATTGAAAATGTGCTGTCAGTAGGTCAGCCGCGATGCAGATGACAAAGGCTACCCCTCGTATCAGAGTGACTGGTACACTCTGCAATAGGGGTCTCCCCTCAGCTGCTGTAGTAAGGCACAAGATGACTGGGAGTGTGTGGGTGGGGGGGGGGAGGTGGGCACTGTAGCATCATTGTTCTGTGCTTGAGGAAGTCAAGTTAGTTACTGGTGCTACCAAGAATCTCTTCCGTCACACAGGACACAATCAGAAATTTGTCTGTTCCAGTAAATGTCTAAAACAAACCAAACGGCACGGCAGAGCTATCAACCCAGAGAACTCCAGTGTCTCCTTGGGACTCCATGCTCTCCTAAGAGAGCCGGACTAACTGGATGCTTGCACCTGTCTCCTACTTTCAGCCAGTAGTGTCTCTTTTAGAGACTGCTCAAAGACATTGCTTTTGCACAGAGTTCCCCCTGAATTGATCAGAACTTGTTCAACACACCTAGTAGATGGTGAACTCTTAGTTCTGACCGATTTTCCTTTCAATGCAAGTTTTCACTCTGAACATGCACACGCTTCAGGAAGCAAAACCTCCCCAGCCCCCTGGGAACTACCAAGGACAGGCTTCCTCCTTTATTCAGCTGTTTCTCATGCAAAGATTCCATCAGATCCCAAGCCAGGCAGGCCCTTCAGCATCTGCAAAGTTTGTCTGCCTTCCAGCAAAGTGTCTGTTCTAATCTTTTCACGACTGTTAACCACTGTTTTCTCTTCTTGCTTGAGAGTCCTCTTTCCAAACTTACTCTGGATGCAAATCTTCACTGGGTAAGTGACTGCTACTTGATACCCCCACCCACCCACCCACCCACCCACCCACCCACCGAGTCCTCTCCTTTTCATCTGCTGAATTGTGTAACTGACACTTTTTTCACTTAACATACAGGTTGTTGGGGGGTTCTTGTTTTTTGTTCATTTGTTTGTTTTTTAGTTTTGTTTGAAGTACAGTTTCTGATGTGAGCCCTGTCAGGGAGAATTTTCTTCCAGTCTTGACATCTCGGAGAATCTGTCTGACATTTCTAAGCCAAAGTATCTTGCCACAAAATCCTTTCTCGTAGGCATTTCTGGTTTTGGATGAGTTATCAGAAAGGGCAGATGAGTACATCTCTTAATACCATGGGTTATGATTAACAGAAAAATTATTTGGGACATTTAGAAGATTCACACACACACACACATACACACAAGCAAGAGTTGTGAAAGCTTTGCAGCTCTTTGGAACATAGAGTTATCCATTCTATTACTAACTTGGAACCTTATCTTTTTGAAATTCAAAGGCTGATCAAACTGAGAAGTATGTAATTACCCTAAAATGTTAATTCTCCATCTTTCTTAACCTATAACTATTTTAATGGGAGCCACTTGTTGCTACGGCCCTTTTGTGTTCAGTAACTAAAGTTCATAACAGTGGGTTCCTCTAGGCTGATTAGTAGAAGTAGAAGTCCAAACAGCTTTAATGCCTCTGCTTCAATGCCTCTGTCCAGTTGTTTTGGAAGACTTGGCGACCTTACCCTTAACCTTTAAAACACCCTGCATGTGCATAATGGTGTCATTGTTCAATGTACATTTATAAAGAAAGATACAAGGCTAAGTTTCCATAAATGTCAACATTTATGATAGAATGGACTACACAGATAAACTAAAATCAGATCTATCTTACCAATAAAATGTGAACATGACAGGTCCCAACTTATTCAGATGTTTGGACATATGAAGAGTCACAAACCAAAGCAATATTTAAAAATACAAAGGCTTGATGGAATTTGGAGGGGAGAGGGTATTTGCAGTCTGGGGTAGCTTTGCATTTGTGTAAATAAAGGGTAATGAAGATGTAGATGAAGCTTGTTCCTTAGTGTGACGGAACGGGAAAGTGTGCTGCTGTAACTGTGCCTTTGCCTTAGATCACAGTGATGATCTTAGATTGTCATTGCTTGCCCCTCATTCTCTCCCTCTGAACCTAGTCACTATGTTGACAGCTTAAGTATATGAGCTTAAGAACTCCAGGCAACCGCAAGACAGCTCCGAGTCTTAAGCCTGTAGAATGGAGGAGTCAGAAGGCTTGTCTTCTTTGGTGAGCATCACTATGATCTAGACCACACACCTTTTTTCATCTGTCAGATAAAGATTGGTAGCCTTGTTATGTGAGAGACTTGTTTGGCAGCAGGTAGTAACAGCCTGCTTTGCAGGCCTGTCTGGATGTGCAGACAGTACTATATGGAGTAGCAGAATGTACTCAGGAGTTAACAGAAGCTCAGTTCTTTCCAAAGGGCCGTGTCTGAAGGACTGTGTGTCTTCTCACAGCCATACAACCGACTGTGTGTCACTTCTCATTTGGAAAGCATAGGTTTGCCCGGCACCTGCTTCTAAGAGGGGATGAGTCGACAGCAGCAGATATGGGATGGAGAGGAAAGGGAAGGTGAACTGAGATCACAAGCTGCCTTGTCTCCTGTCCAGTGCCAGTGGTTTTGACCAGCCTTTTACCACATCACCTGTCTGCATTCTGTAATTCAGATTATGTTATTCTTGACTCTTCTTCCTTGTCTACCTTTCTGTTTCCTATACCTCTCTTCTTAGCCTAATGGGAGAGAAAGCAGAACCATCTGTCTGTGCAGTCTGCGTACTAGAATCCTGAAGCATATGGTAAATGTGTTCTACAAAGGACTAGCTCCTCCTGTCAAGCAATTGTCAGCCACTTTTGTTAACTCCCTGGGCTGTTGTTCAGTCTGAATGTCCTTAATCCCATCAGTGACACCAGTTAGAAGCATCTGTGCTTTAATATGATCCTCACCATCATGCATGTTTAACCTCCTTTCGTATGCATTTCTAGGGCAGGAGCGGTTTGGGAACATGACCCGAGTCTACTACAAGGAAGCTCTTGGGGCATTTGTCGTCTTTGATCTCTCAAGAAGCTCCACATTTGAGGCAGTCTTAAAATGGAAAAATGATCTGGATAGTAAGGTCCATCTTCCCAATGGCAGCCCCATTCCTGCTGTCCTCCTAGCTAACAAGTGTGACCAGAAGAAGGATGGCACCCAAAGTCCTTCCCAAATGGACCAGTTCTGTAAAGATCACGGATTCACTGGATGGTTTGAAACCTCTGCCAAGGTGAGATGGCTTTCTAAAGACTTGTTTCTGATTCCCTTGTCAGGCTGGGTTGGGACATGAAGTGAATAGATGCATTTCTGCAAGGTGTTTTGTAAGCCCATAATAAGAAGATCAGAGTGTGGATATATGACAGTCTCCCCTTCTGAAACATGAGTGCTTCCAAAGTTAGCCAACAGGGCCATGAATTGGGGTCCAGAACAGGGCAAACATTGCACGACATTTTCTGCAAGTTTGAGTTCTTAAGCCAGGTATTTTTCTCCTGCTACTGGAGTGAATGGGAGATAAGGTGTTTTGTCAAAGACAAACACTTTTTGAAAAAGGCCAAGAGCAGGAGGAAATGTCTCTAGAAGATGAACATCATATGTACCGCTCATGATGAACAGTCACTAGCAGACTGGATAACTGAGAGATTTAAGAAAATGTCAACATTCACTCTGTGCTTCTTACTGATTAGCTGAATGGATTATTTTTCTCCTATCATTGGGAACTGCATTGTTTTTTCTTTTAGAAAATAAAAATACTAAGATAAAGTTTTGAAAAGCTTAACTATGTGGAAACTAGAAAACAAAGGTTTAAAAAGAAATAAGAAGGACACTCACTATACTGGAGAGTTATATTTCTTGGAATTGTTAAATAAAAGAATTCAGTAACCATCAGACATGCCTAAAATATAATGACCTTCTTGAGAAATTCTGTGATAATCATTCATTCATTTGTATATTCTTTATAGTGTCGTAGCTTATAATATGCATGCTATAGATGTATGCATTGTGTGTGTGTGTGTGTGTGTGTGTGTGTGTGTGTACATCACTGTTCCTCCAAATATCCTTCCTGAATGATGGTTTTTGGGATTCCTGTCAGGTTGCTCCCAGCTTTACTAGGCTCTTCCCCTCAAGGTGGGAGATTATTCATTGTCAGTTCTCATCAGAATGATGAAAGCAAGTGATGAGTGCCTGTATCATAGGGCAGCCTCCAAGTGTTAAGTGATGAGTCACTGGCAAAGGAAAGTCCCTGGAGGCAGAAGTGAGTGGTCCCAGCCATACACTGTTTGGATAAAGGCAGTCTTACGCTGTCCTTGGCTTCATGGAGACAGTTGTGGTGGAAGGGGGATGAAGCCCAGAGGTCCCACAGGAGTGGGTTAGCATGACAAGAAGGAGGAGATCACAGGAAAAGAAAGGCATGCCAGAGACTGAATTTTCCAGGACTGTGCCTCTCTCCGCCCCCATGTACATGCCAGATAAATTTGCTTTAACTTCCCATCGAAGAGTAATATGTGTGCGACTACATATATGTGTTGAGGAATTTCCTATATTGCCTGTAAAATCTCGTGTAGGATTTATTTGATCTTCTAGCTAACAGATTTTGATTTTATACAAAAATCTGCCTATAAAATGTATAAATGGTTGCCATGGGGTCTACAACTTGAAACTGTGTAAGTGACTGGCTTTATTATGTCTTTAGACAAGATACTATATAGAAGAGCGAGGGGGGTATGTTTATAAGTGTACATTTTCATGCCGTTCTGAGCTTCCTTCAAATATGTGAGGAAGAACTTCCACCTGATTTCCTATGTGGCCATCCCGGAGTCTTCTAGAGTCTAGAATCTCTAGTGTAACATTACTGTGAGTTTTTTTTTTTTTTCTTAAAAAGTTTGAAAAATTGAATCAAAGTGTTATGTGAGTATTACCAATACGTCTACTTCTGGGTCAGGAAGCAACTAACTTCACATCTGGATTTTGCTTGAATTCTAGTGCTATGGATTCTAATAGATACATAGTCAGAAGGTAGTATTGAGGTCACAAATTTCTCTTTTCTCCTTCCTGGCACATAATGAATTTCAATATGGAACTTTGAAACTCATTTCACTATAATATGGGATTTCTGTCCCCACTCAAGCTTGAGTAACCTCTGTTAGAGAGCTGTGTTTGAAGGAGAATATCCCCAGAGGCTCATGTATTGAATACTGATGCATTTGATGGAGCTGTTTGGTGAGGCTAAGGAGGTATAGAGGAAGTAGATCACTAGGAGCTAGCATTGAGATTTGAAAATCTCACAGCATCCCAAGTTTTCTCTCTCTGCTTCCTGTTTATGGTTTAAGGTGTGACCTCTTAATCTCTAGTTGTTCCGGTTGCCATGCCTGTCTGCTGCCGTGTTTCCCTGGGGCCCATGATGGGGACAGCACCTCTGGGTTCCATTACAGCTATCTATTTGTTCACAAGACTAAGGACATCAAAACAGTGTATGCCTGGGACCACTCACTTCTGCCTCCAGGGGCTTTCCTTTGCCAGGGACTCTATCATCACTCGACACTCAGAGGCTATCCTGTGATGCAGTTGCTCCTCACTTAATTCCATCAGTCTGATGAGAATTGACATTGAATAATCTCCCACCCATGAGTCTAAATAAATCCTTCCCTCCATAAGTTGCCTTGGCCATGGTGTTCAGAAACAACAACAAATAACTAATGATGAGTGGAAATGACAAGAGCTGAACAACACCTTTGGAAATTCAAAGATCCTTGCTTGTGTTAAAGTTATCTTGGGAGTAAAGGTCTCAAACCAGTACATACTGTGAAAATATCCTAAGTAAACAGCAGCCAGTGGTGGTGCATGCCTTTGATCCTAGCACTTGAGAGGCAGAAGTAGGCAGATCACTGTGAGTTCAAGGTTAGCCTGGTCTACAAAGTGAGTTCCAGGACAGGCTTGAAAGCTATAGAGAAACCCTGTCTTTGAGATACCATCTTACTCCTGCCAGAATGACTAAAATTAGAAACACCAATGACAACTTATGCTGGAGAGGATATGGAGAAAGGGGAACACTCCTCCACTGCTGGTGGGAGTGCAAACTTGTACAGCCAATTTGGAGATCAGTATGGTGGTTCCTCAGGAAAATGGGAATCAGTCTACCACAGGACCCGGCAATCCCCCTCTTAGGCATATACCCAAATGATCCACATCCATGCAACAAAGACATCTGTTCAACTATGTTCATAGCAGCACTATTTGTAATAGCAAGAACCTGGAAGCAACCTAGATGCCCCTCAACTGAAGAATGGATAAAGAAAATGTGGCACATTTACAAAATGGAATACTACTCAGAGGGAAAAAACAATGGAATCTTGAAATTCGCAGGCAAATGGATGGAACCTGAAGAAACCATTCTGAATGAGGTAACCCAGTCACAAAACCCAGTACATGGTGTGTACTGACTCGTATATGGATTTTAGACCTAGAGCAAAGGATCACCAGCCTATAATTCACACTACCAGAGAAACTAGGATACTAGGAAGATTCTGAGAGATTCATATAAGGTCCTTCACAGAAGGGGGAAGGGACAAGATCTCCTGAGCATATGGGGAGTGGGGGGGGCAGTGAGTGGAGAGGGAACTAGGAGAAAGAGAAGAGGAGGAGAGGAAAGCACGTGGGACTAGGAAGATTGAGTCAAGGGAGGAATAGATAAGAGATAAAAGAGGGAGGGAGGGGGGAGAGAGAGAGAGAGAGAGAGAGAGAGAGAGAGAGACCATAAAAGAGGGGACCATTTATAGGTTTGAAGAGAAAACTTAACCTAGAGAAATGTCCAGAGACCTACAAGATTGACCCCAACTAACAATTTGAGCATCAGTGGAAAGGCTTCCATAAATGACCTTCCCTGATAATGTGATCAACAACTAACTTATCCACCATCATGGAGCCTTCATCTAGTATCTGATGGAAACAGAAGCAAACACCACAACCAGACACTGAACCGAACTGGAATCTAGATGCAGAGAGGGAGGACAAGACCAGGTTGCAGAAACACATAGAGACAGCTGACCTGAACAAGGGGGAGCTAATGGCCCCCCAGACTGATAGCTGGGAATCCAGCATGGGACTGACTCAGACCCCCTGAACATGGGTCTCAGCTAGAAGGCTTGAGCAGTCTAAGGGACCTTGGACAGTGGATCCAGGATGTATTCCTGGTTCACAAAAGGATTTTTGGGGCACATCCTCCATGGAGGGCTATACCTTAACATGGAGACAGGAGAGAAGGCCTAGTCCCTACTCCAAATGACTTGACAGATTTAGCTGACCCCCTCCTGCAGGGCATCACCCTACATGTGGAGTGGGGGGGGGTGTGGAAGGGGAGGGTGGTTGTGGGCCATGAAAGGGTGGGAGAGAGGGAAAGAGGGAGGGAGGGGAGAGGGAACTGGGATCGATATGTAAAATAAAAATTAAAAAAATAAATTAAAAAAAGAAACCCTGTCTCAATAAATAAATAGCATTACTCCTAAATGAACAGCCCTGCTATCTGAGGAAGTTAACAACAAAAGGGAGACGATTTCATAGTGTTGGATTTGGCTGGAGACATTAATATAGTTTGCTACTTATAAATGTATGTGTGTATCCAATTATGTATTTATTTTCATAAATATTTATAAATAGACACCAAAGTTGTAGGTGCTTCATGTGTGTGTGTTTGTGTACACATGTATTTAATAGCTCTATTAGCCAAGAGAACTGAAGGCAATAACACCATGTAAAGAATGAACTCTCCTAATAAAATTACAATACAATTTTCTAAATAAGCAGACTGGAGATATGGGGAGAAAGACATGATTCCATGGCTGATGGGAATAGAAAGTGGAGATGATCTTGAGATAGTCTGTGTTGCCAGCAAATAAGAACACATGCATAAAATAGCATGGACATGTCCCAAAGAGCATAGGGCCTGCTTGTAGACTTTACAGAATTATAGGACAAGCACTAAGAAGTATTGTGATGGGGTTAATGGGTAAAACTGATAACAGCCCATACTATGCACAAACAAGTGATGACTACATTTTCCCTCACAGTAGAGTCCTAACTAGTAAATATAGGACTAGTGCAAACGAAATGACAGCTTCCATTAGCATAGTGGTAATTGCCTTAGAAGAGAATTAATAGATGCCAAAGTTAGTGAGGGAAGATGTGTAAGAAGCACGATATTTACCTATTTGTATTCACTAAGTCCAAAGGTGGAATTGCACCTTTTCAATAGGAAGCCGGGAAGCAAACAACCTTAATCCACATGACTTCCGCATTCCGAGGACACACGATCCCATCTGCTTCCCCCCCCCCCCCAAGAGTGCTACACTTGAAGTTACTCAAAAGCAGTATTAGAAAGACCCAGGCCAAGGGCTATTCTGTGGCCAGTGTTCTCCAAGACGTCACTTGAGGTTACAAAAGTGGTGTAACCACTATGACATTTCCTGTGTTTCAGTAAATAGCCTTCCACTCGCGCTGGGTCAACAAGCCTAATTAAGTCAGTGAGTCACACACAGAAAGACATGAAGATGGCGGAGACATTTTGGGAAGAAGAGGCTCTGGGAAGAAGGATGGGGTATGAGAGATTAATGGAAGTAGAAGTAACTGAAATTCATTCTAGGCATGTATGGCACTTTCAAAGAATAAGTAGCAATTTAATTAAACTAATGCCTTGAACTCTTAAAGTAACTGATGCTAGCATTGGAGAAGAGGTTACCCGGTGTGCTCAGTACCCTCTGGTGTGTCTCCCTGGTCCCCTTACTGTGCTCAACATTTACTTCGGAGGCCAAGGCAGGCACTGACCTTCCCATTCTGTGTTCCTACTACAGGATAATATAAACATCGACGAGGCCACCCGGTTCCTAGTGGAAAACATCCTTGCGAACCAGCAGAGCTTTCCCAGCGAAGAAAACGACATGGACAAAATTAAACTGACCGATGAGCCCCTCCCGGCAAAGCCCAGGTCCCAGTGCTGCTGACGTGTCTCTGCGCTGGCTGCCCTGTCTCCTTGGTCCTGCGTGTGTCTGAGGATGCTCATGGTGCCACTGTCCCCTGTGAGTGTCTCTCAGGTGTGCTTTACCATCCGGCTGCACAGGAATCGCTCGTGTGAAGCCGGAGATCCGTGGAGAACAGTTCCCACCAGAGACCCTGTGACTTACCAGATGAACCCTAGGTTCTTTTTGTACTGCCAAATGCAGACTAATGTTTTTATCCTTTGAAGCATTATTGGACGTGCGTTTCAAGTGTTAGCTTTTAGTGTAAGTACTGAAGTAGCAGAAAAACTTCCCCGCGGTGTTTCTGACATTTTCAGTGTCTTTGTTCCTGTGTTCCTTCTTACCTAACACAATTTTTTCTTTTAATTTTTTTTAAAGAAAAGAAATTCTTTTTTTTTTCTTTAACATTTATTATTTCTGTTAGCTACACATGCAGTTATTTCCAAGTCAAACTTTGTACGTCCTGTAACATTTTTATTCTTAAATACCGTGAGTCTAAGCTGGGCTGGGCAGTGGTGGTGCTTGCCTTTAATCCCAACATTTGGGAGGCAGAGGTAGGCTGATTGATCTCTTTGAATTTGAGGCCAACACGATCTACAAAGCAAATTTTAGGACAGCTAGGGCTATTACACAGAGAAACCCTTTCTTGAAAAACAAACAAATAAACAAAAATGTGATTCTAAAACTCATAGTTGGTGTATAATGAAGTTGTTCTGAAACATCTTGATGTTCCCTTCCCTAACTAATCAAAAAGCATTAAGCTGGGGATGTGGCCCAATGATAGCGTGCTCACCTAGAATGTTATCGACCCTAGGTCTGCAGGGTGGGAGGTGCTTGCATCATACCTGTGTCTCCCTCTGGATCTTCTCAGGGGTACTTGTCACTACCCCTTGGAGACAATGAAAATGAACATTCCTTCCCTGCCCTCTATTCTGTTATAGCCTAGAGCTATTGTAGGCCCAGCCATACTAAAGGAACTTGCCTTTACGGATCTGTCATTGTAATGGTCGGGGGGGGGGGGGACCTTTTTCCAAAGCATATGCAGTTATATCCAAGTTTCTTAAGTATGAAACCTGAAAGAAAGTAAACCATGTATCTATCGTTCTGTCTATGGTTCCAGACGCCGACGGTATAATGCCTAAGACACTCTAGGCAGATCTACAACATTTGTGTTGCACTTAACTCAGTTAAAGCAAAGAATAAATATTTTAACGTAAGCCTGTGAGTTGAAGGAATGCAATTCTAGGAAAGTACTTTCTGGTTTAGAAAATGTTGTGTTTGACTGGGGTGTTGGTCCACATCTGTATTCCTAGCATGCAGGAGACAGGCAAATGGGTAGACGTTCCAGGCATGTATTGACTACATAGCAAGTTCAAGGACAACCTGAGCTACACAAGAACCTTTCTACAAAAGGAATAAATACTTTTGTAAAAAATCGTTTTCTGTTGGAATTTTTAGATTTAGTACTTTATTTGTGTATATTCTGGCTGCATTTGTTCCTGTGTGTGTGTGTGTGTGTGTGTGTGTGTGTGTGTGCGTGCGCGCACGCACGCACGTGCACCTAATGCCTGTGAGGATCAGAAAAGGGCATGGGATTCCCTGGAAATGGAGCTATGGATGTTGTGAACCATCCTTGATGGGAGCCAAACCCATATCCTCTACAAGAGGAACAAGGGCTTTTAATCCCTGAGCCAACTCTTGATATTTATTTTAAGGCACTTATCACATTGTGCAGAAAGTTCAGCCTCTAAAGAAAGTTAAATATCCTTTGCATCATAGCTTAAAGCAAAAACAAATGAAATACTGGACATATTTGTCTCCTGGCCCATGTGAACATGTAGTCATAACAACAAGAAATACATAGAGATGCTATTGTTCTGTGTCCTGCGAATAAAGGAGTCACAGGCTCTTTTTACTAAAAACTCATGCCTTACCCAAATGTGGCTATGGGCTATGTATTCAAGTAATGAAATCGTTTTAACTCTCTGGACAAGTATTCATAGAGAGCCAGGTTTTCAGGCGTGAAGAACTAGGATACCAGAGTTTGATTGATGTGTATAATTTAATATAATATAATCCCTTTGATCTTATCATGTATTAAATCTCTCTAAGAAATACATATCACCCAAGTGTAAAATACAGCTTTATAATGGTTGATATTTCACAGCCTGTGAAGAATGTATAAAGTGTTGCTATCAAACCCCAAATGATGGGCACATCAAGTCTATCATAAATACTGAAAATGACTGGTCACTTGGAAGTTGTAGTGTTTGACATGATTTTAATTTTTAAAAATAACCTATCACATTTAAGTTCATTTAACAGTTGCCTCGATACTCAATTTGTTCATCTTTATAGTGTTGGTTTATTTACAGTATTCATCCAGGAGAGTTCCTGACAAAACTGACTTCTGTTATGTCAAGTGAGACCGTTTATACTTTGTACTGTCCACATTTCAAAGAAAGAATTGTTACTCTTTTGCTTTACCTTAAAGTCTCTAATATTTTGTAACTTTAGCATAAAATTTGAATTGGGGCTAAATGACATAAAAAGGACTAAATGAAAGAAAAGAATTAGTTGTCCCTTTATTCACCTTATAAAGCAGTTATACATTTAAACATATGCCCTAGCTCAGATACTGGGATAAACTAACCAAGTGAAAGATGTATCGAGATGTTGCCAATTTTCCTGTCTGCTATGTGTGGGTCCTTATACCCCATGTTTGTAAATGTTATCCCTGGGAAACAGTGACTTTCCAATGTGTAGTATCATTTCTTTCAATATGTCTGCGAAGCACTGAATTCCTTACTGAAATTTCCCAAGCCTCACTTCAGATGTGCATGGTTTTTTAGAAACACACTTTTATGGAAATCCAACATTTATTTGGAAACCTCCCATGCTAATTAGTATACCAAAATTACTGAGTTTGAAATCTATAGTATGCTCAAAGCACTATTAAGATATAAAGCTGTATTTCTGTGTGCACATTATTGTTAGTATGAAGTCTACACACTTTAGACAATGGGCTAAATATATAAATTTGCTGTTACCTGCTGAAGTCAATAAGCACTTAAGGTTCTTGCTACCACTGATTAGCCATTTAGTCTACATCATAGGTCTCTCTTGCTACCTCCCCAAATTATATAATACTGAAATTAGCTTAACTATAAGAAAAAGAAACAAATTACATAAACTGCAAGACCACTAGGGGGAAAATATGCTAAGAAAATCCTTAAACACTCTCAAGTGCCGAGAGCGAAGAAAACAAAAACATATACATGTCATTACATAAGAATATAAATAAAAGCAACACAGACAGAATTCTAACAAGCAACAAACAAAATGTTTACAGCCTGTTTGATTAGGTGGGGGTTACAAACAGGACAGTGACAAACAATGAATAAAAATGGGCAAAGACTGGAAACCAGCAAGAGTGTACACGGATGAACCCATGGACACTCATGCAAAGAATCCAGAGGAAGACATTGCATGTCCCTTCTCAATCATTTTCTGCCTTAGTTCCTTGAAGCAGGGTTTCTCACTGAAGCTAAAGCTCTAAACCCTTTTCTGCTATGGCCAGTTTTTATCTAGGATTAGATTACCTAGGGTCCTGACATTAACTTGTGGTCTCCACATGTCACACACACACACATGTGTATGTGCACACTTACACATGCAAATACCTACATGTGGACATCGCACACACATGCAAAAGTTAATCATTGGGAAACAAAGTAATTTGCTATCAGATAAATAAATTACATTGTTTGGTCATTTCCTTGATGTTGGAATCATAGAAGTAAGTCAGTCTTAGCTGCTACACTCCATTTAATTGAACTGATGTTGCCAAGTTTCCTCCCCAAACTGCCGCTCACTTTACACACCAATTCCACATCCTGCCAAGAAATGAAATGCATGTTGTTAGGGGAAGATAATAAAAAATGGAAAACTTTTATTTTTGAGTAAGTATTATCAAAAGTGATGTGCACATTTTGAATAATTCATCAGAAACTGAACAAAAAAGACCCAGAAAGTAACCTCACTTTTCCTTTCATTCAGTCAAGAACATAGTACAAGTTTGTACAATTTCTTAAGAAAAGCAGAGCTAGTCCAACATCAAGACAAATTGTTGTCATTTGTCAAACAGTTCATTCTGAGTCCACCTGGAAACTGGAGGGGTATCTGTGTTAACCAGGTTTATCTGAAAGGGCAAAAACTTAACTCACATTGTGGTGACAAATAAGTTTGTGTCTTGTACCATGTTCTCACCAAAGTGAGTTCACAACAGAAGCCGTAAGCCATAGGTTCTCTCTTTGGTGATGACTACATCTCAAAGAGATGGTCCCTGTGCTTGGAAAAGCTGGTGAGAGGCTAACTTATATTACAAAAGGACTTCCCACATCTCAGAGACAGTAAAGGAACTTGAAAGTTTCCTAATACAATATCTCAGAAAAGGATACGGGAAGCATCACTTCCTTCATTTTCAACAGCGGAATTAAGCCTTTCATTTTTAATATGTGTTCATTCTTACTATCAAATGCAGTTAAACATTGGCTGTGCACATAACATTCTTAGAGACCAATAGCTGCAATATCAGACCCACAAAGCGTAAATCTATATTTGGTGAAGTATTCATTATTGCTCATGATAACGAACACTCTAGAAGAGACAATTGTGCAACTCAAGGAGGCTTTATGTATGAAAGCATAAATCTTTACAATTCTGTTTTGAAAGATGAACGTATAGAAGCTATGATTCAAAGACTAGAACTGTAGTTTAGTGATAGAGTGCTCAAGTGGCCAGAATAAAACCTTGACTTTGGCCCCAGTCACACACACACACACACACACACACACACACACACACACAAATGGCCCTATTTACACACCATAAATTAAGTCCACTGTCTGTAAGAAGCCACTTGAAAACTATCTAGGACCCTCTAACAAGTCTATCAGCATGTCACAAAACAAATTCCACACTTGCTCTAAAAGCTTAAGTGTTCATGTGTTGAATGTAATAAACAGAATTACATCCACTGGAAGGCAGCCTATAAAACCATCTCCCAGAGGAAATGCTCATTTGGCTGAAATTTGGAGCCACATTAGATTTTCAATTTTCATTGATAGAAACTTTGCTTTTGAGTCTTGGGGATAGCATCAGGCAAGCTTTAAGAGTGTGACTTTCATGCCCATAGAACCGGGGAAGACCCTGACTGAGTCTAGCATCCATCTCATTTCAGACTGTCTGAAGATAGGCTTCCAAGTGCTTTTTCTCACTGATAAGTTTTTAAGTTTGGACTTAAAATAG